TCTTCTTTTGCCATCTTCTAAAATCAACTCCTTCAAACTTATCCAATTTGCCAAACTTTGACGTCATCTCACGCACAGAAACATTAGCCATTGTTCACCGTAAATACTCTTTAAGATTGTTGTGTAACGACGTTGTATCTCCGGGACGTAACGAACGTGAACTTGGATAGAGATTGAATCGCGCACGAGAGCACTTTCCTTAAAGAGTATTTCGACCCTTCTCAAGCCTTGGGTTACACGAAATCCCTTCTAGGATAAGACAATCAAAGTTCTCTCTTGTTCTAGGCTAAGACACAAGAGAAACAAATAGAGCTTTTTGTGTTTTGTTTTGTGTTTTGCACTAAAGATTAAGACAATCTTTAGTCTCGTGAATCTCTCTTTTCTCCTCTTCTTCTCTTTCTTTGACACAAGAGAAACAAAGTTTATATATGGTTCAAAAGTTGTGACGTACGTTTGCAACCGTACGTTTAAATAATAACCATAAATTGAATAGTTGCAATGGTTAATTTAATAACCGTCGGTTTACACTTAAATTTATAACATATCATATCATGGTTTCATTTATTTAAACTATTAGGTTATGAGTTCACCAATATAGTTTCATATATATTCTTTCTTTCTTGTTTAACATCATCATGACAACAATTGAGTACCCACATAATGACTGTCTCAGGTTATGATCCATCATGCCCAAATCCAGTGACAACCATCATGTCATTAATGAATCAGTTTACCCTTAGTGAGCTTGTTCATGTAACTAGGAAACAAAACCTAAATGATTCTTTTGCAGCCAGAAACAATTAACACAAGGACAAGCAGAGAAGTGCTTGGGTGGTAAAAAGAGGAAATAATGTTTAGAGTCGCTTAACATCACAGTCAAATAGATTTTGCTTGATTATATAAATCATTTGAATGCTTGCTTTAGAGTATATTCAAATGTTCGTTATGCACTCTTTATACATACTGAAGCATCTGATGTCTATTTCGAATACTAAATTGTGTTTATATAACTATAACCCCCGATTTATCTTCATAGAGTCGCAAATAGAATTAAAATATGCGATCCGTTTGCTAAGACAGGAAAATAAATTTTATAGGATATGTAAATTTAATCTTGTGTATGTGTATGTATAGAAAACAAACTTAAAATTCTCTCGACATTTTTAAAATTTTCAGAGAGTCACAGTTAATTCTTAAGTCACAGTTAAAACGTCGTGTTATTAATATATATTTACATGTACATATATAAAAGAGGGGAGTGTCTGTTGAACAATTGGTGTAGTCTGATGGCATTAAACGCAACTTAAATTTCTCACGGGACTCAGAGGCTGTGGGTTCGATGCTTGATCAGTGTAAAAGTTATTTGTGTATTTTTTACTTTTTAGATAATTTCCCGCCAAAAGTTTATATTTATCAATTTCCTTTTTATATTAGTAATTAGTACCATATCCACGATTATATATATTACGAATCTTTTATAATGATTACATAATTAAACCAAATTGGAATATTTAATGTATAGAGAAGTTAATTTGGAATGTTTAACCGAATTAATCTTTCGTAGCAACGACAATTTTTGTGTGTTTCCTTTTCTAAAACACCAAAGAATGAATTCGCCTTAAACTTTTCCAATTTGCAACGACTTTTTAGTATTGCCATATTTTCCCGCCAAAAGTTGAGGTTGATCAAATTCCTTAGGCTCTGACTTTGCAATAAACCACACAACGCTCTCGCTGCCTTCGTCTTTGAACTCGAGTTTAGGCAGCATCTGCCAGACATAACGCCATCGTTTAGAAAATATTGAAGTGGACGTGATGCAAGATCTGCAAGAGCAAATCGTCGGGCAAAGCACAGATCCTTTGACACATTCGGTTTCAGGAACAGTTGATAGATGCTTATCGTTGTGTATGATATCCCACAAAAAAGACTAACAGCTTAAGAAATCCAATAAGCCAAATTCATCCCAGATCTTGATAGCTAGTAAGGAAGTCATTATGGAGGTGTGAATGAGGAAAAGGTAGAGAATTTGGGGCTGCGAGAACTGATCGATGGTGGAAATGTTGTTCGTCACACGGATTCTTCACAAGAACATCTACGTCCAGCATTAAAAAGAGGGCTGAGTTCATTAATCCAGCAGTATGGTGGTCTTGTAGATAAAGCTTCACTATGCACTAGATGGAACTACAAGCACAACATGACATATACAAACTTGAATTGCACGGCGGAAGTGATGTTCTGATTCAGTAATCCATAATGTTTCATCCCCACTAATGCTTGAAGCTTTAATTTGTTACATTTTTTTGGATAGCTCGTACTCTGTAATTAGCAAAAGTCCTGATCTAAAAGGCATCAAAGCCAGGAGATGAAAAACTGTTATAATTATACATTGATTAGAATAACAATTTATCTCTCTAATCAAAAGCTGTTTAATTGTTTATGCAACGTATGTGCAATGGAGATTCTTGAGAAAATGGTTTAAAAAGTGATGCACTCTCCGTGTCTTTATCTCGTAACCTCTAAAAATTGTTTTTTAAGCATCAAAGTGGCTAACGAGAAGAAGTCACTATGTGTTTTTGTTTTGCTCTCTCAAGGTATTGTTCCCATATTGCTCTATCTGTCCTTAGCTAAGCCGTTTGAGAAGCTGTCATTTCTTTGATGCCTAAAACCAATTTGAATTGGAAGTGCATTTTCGAAAGTAACAAACCCTCTCTTTGAGAAGCGTCCAAAGCCGTTTGGAGTTGGAAGTGCATTACTTTCGAAAAAGGATCTCTCGATATACATACAAAGGAGGACTTAAGTTTTTTAGAGGTTAAGAGAGCAATATTAAAAAATTATCACACACAACACTCCAAAATCATCTAACGTTTGAATATAAATTTTACCAAAGCACTAGAATTTTGTTTTTGTAATTATAGAAAATCCTATGAATCACCTAGAAAATCCTGAAATCCTGCTAATCCAAATTCAAATTCAACTAAATCTTACAAAATATTTTGTCCAATACACCCCCTAAATTAATGTGTTTATATGATTATATCCCCCGATTTATCTTGCGAAGACCCACAACAAAACGTCTTATTATTTATCTGTATATAAATATACAAAGCGGCGCATGTGATGAATGATTGGCGTGGTCTATTTGCATTGCACGCTTCTTCAATAAAGCCGAGGCTGTGCGTTCGATCCTTAGCGAGAGCATAATTTAATTCTTCCACTTTTTAGTTTTTAGATGTTTTCCCGTCAAAAGTTTATATTTTTCAAATTCCTTTATATCAAATACATATCCATGATTATACATGTCAGTTAAAGTTTCGAATCTCTTATAATGATCACGTAATTAAACCAAATTGGAATATTTAATGTATGGAGAGGTTAAATTGGAATGTTTAACCAAATTAGAGCTTTTATTTTTCCCTAAACTTTTCCCATTTGCGACGACTTTTTAGTATTGCCATATTTTCTTCCAGCCAAACGTTTGTATCTATCAAATTCCTTATCTAACTCCTTCTATATATATGTTAAAGTTTCCTTTTACATAACAAGTACTTAATACGGTAGAATTTTATATATAATTACATAATTAAACCAAATTCGATTTTTTTTTTTTTTTAATATCTAGAGATGTTAAATTGGAATGTTTAGAGAAAAAAAAAATTGTATCTGTTATAACCAATAAAAAAAAGAGAGATAATTGAGTTTTCCCTTGATCACGTAACTTCCTTATGTGAAGGATCACAAATTTAATCTCACTCACCAATCAAAGAAGAGAAATTAAATCGTATTCATTGTTGCTGATTCTAAATCTTATTCGTCGTGTAGATATATATAGGAACAAGTCTCTAGCCATTAAGACATTTTTCCATTTGTGTATAAATTAGCTATTGTATATATAGATAGCTAATCTCTTATAATCATCTTAAGCAGAAAGTGTAACGTACATTTATTTTTATCGATGGGGGCAATTAATGTGTGAGATTTTTACTTTCCGATAATACATTTTCGTAGCCATGTTTTGTTTCCTTTACCAATAATTTTCTAAAAAAAAAAGAATTTATCTGGGACCCACTCAAATTAAATATTAGGGTGTAGAAACGCTACCTACTTATTTTTATTTCACTATATATATCATTCGCTCGCTCACACTTCCTCCTCTCATGTTAACCTTGCCGCTCCGATCTCTAATTTGTCTTTCTGCATCACTTTGGTTTCTTTTTTTTTTTTTTTTGTTTCTTCTTCTTCCTCTTCAAGTTGCTTCTCTTCAAAGAATGAAGGTGAAGTTCGTGGAGGAAGAAAACATGTTTTTCTCAATTTTAAAATATAAATTTGAAAAATTTGTGTTACATTGTTTTTTTAAATGGAAATTTCTATGCGTTTTTCAATTAACATTTTCCGGGTTTCTCAAATTGTCTTATTTAATCGAAACTATCCAAACTCTCACAAAAATATCAATAGAAACATAATTTTTTGGTTTGAATTTTGATGATTTTGATTTGAGTTTGACTATGAAGAAAATCAAAACGCGTGTTTACTCCACAGCTGGACGAACTGGGCCTAAATGTTGGCCCGGCCCATTGATATATTGTTTGTCACTGCTCCGGAGACCATTTGTTTCTTAATTTCAAAAAGTTTTCATTTTCTCTAATTTCAAAACAAAAATAAATTTCCCTCATTCTTCAAGCTCCTGCTTTTTCTCCAAACAACAAAAATGGCGGTAGAGGTAAGGCTTTCTCTGAGAGTCGAAGAAACATGTTGTTTTTCATGGAAAAATTGGTTCTCATTGCTTCCTCTTGTGTGCGATGTGATGAATCTCTGTTCTCTGTTGCTTTTTACCTCTTGATTCTTCAATTTAGCGTCGTTGATGAATCTGTAGCTCCGTTTTGTTTATCTCTTCTCCGATATCTCTTAGCTTAGTTTTGTTAGCTTAGTTTTGGCTTCTCTAATCGTGATCTCGTAGCTTCGTCTTGTTTCCGATTTGAAAAATTGGTTCTCGTAGCTTCGATTTTGATGAATCTGTAGCTCCGTTTTGTTTATCTCTTCTCCGTTATCTCTTAGCTTAGTTTTGTTAGCTTAGTTTTGGCTTCTCTAATCGTGATCTCGTAGCTTCGTCTTGTTTCCGATTTGAAAAATTGGTTCTCGTAGCTTCGATTTTGATGAATCTGTAGCTCCGTTTTGTTTATCTCTTCTCCGTTATCTCTTAGCTTAGTTTTGGCTTCTCTAATCGTGATCTCGTAGCTTTGTCCTGTTTCCGATTTGAAATATTGGTTCTCGTAGCTTCGATATTGATGAATCTGTAGCTTCGTTTTGGTTTATCTCTTCTCCGATATCTCTTAGCTTATTTTTGTTAGCTTAGTTTTGTTAGCCTAGTTTTGGCTTCTCTAATCGTGATCTGAAGAGTGGATCGAAATTTTTCAGGATTGTGATTTTGTTTCATTTTTGCAGGCTCTCTTTAAAAAGATTTTCAGCTGCTGCTTTGGCCAAGATGATGATGATGATGATGATTCATTTCTCTATGGAGTTGCTCTTCTCTTCCATGAAGAAGAAGTCGTGGCTCAGCACCTTGTAAGTTTTGATCACATCAGGAATTAGTATTTTTGTAGATTTCTGATTAATCTAACTCATTTCGTGGTTATTTGTCCTCAGATTCATCATGATGATGATGCTCTTCAATCTGCAGAAGCTCATGATGATGCATTTCTCTATGGAGTTGCTCAACTCTTCCAAGAAGAAGAAGTCGTGGCTCAGCACCTTGTAAGTTTTGATCACATCAGGAATTAGTATTTTTGTAGATTTCTGATTAATCTAACTCATTTTGTGGTTATTTGTCCTCAGATTCATCATGATGATGATGCTCTTCAATCTGCAGAAGCTCATGATGATGCATTTCTCTATGGAGTTGCTCAACTCTTCCAAGAAGAAGAAGTCGTGGCTCAGCACCTTGCACTTGTTGTTCCACAGCGTCTACATCTTAAACCTCGTCTGGTGAGTAACTCTTGTTGTTGTTAATAGAATTTATTGTTGTTGCTGAGTAACTTTTGTTTTTATTTTTTTTCCAGAATTTGCCTTCCTTTGCAAGGAAATTCAATCCAAATCGTGTGGGGCTTGCCCAGAAGGTCAACCACACTCCTTCTCAGAAGAAAGAGAACAATAGAAAACTCACTGCAAAGAAAATTGCTAAATTCAAGAAGGACAAAGAAGAAAGCAAGAAGAAAAAAGGAGGTCTTTACCAGGGGATTGTGTCTCAACAAGCTGATTGGTAGGATTAGTATAATTCTATAGGATGATAAAAATATATATATATATATATATATATATATATATACATATAGTATATTTCTATAGGATGAAAAAAAATATATATATATATATATTATATTTCTATAGGATGAAAAAAAAAAAATATATATATATATATATAGTATATTTCTATAGGATGAAAAAACAAAAAAAAGAAAAAAATATATATATATATATAGTATATTTCTATAGGATGAAAAAACCAAAAAATTGACTGTTGTTTACTGTGTTGACTGTTGTTTCTACTCCCTTTTATAAATAAGAAAAAAAAACAAGGTAATCAAAATTGTCTTGCAATGTTATTTTATTTTTTCGTTCCTTTTAATTAAGTATTATGAGCTAGTTCTTGTGATAGTGCCATAGTGGTATATACGGTGATGCTTTAACATAGGCATTAATTTTTTTCTAAACATTCCAATTTAATATCTCTATATATTAAATGTTTCCAGTTTGGTTTAATTACGTAATTGTATCAGAGATTCTACCGTATTAAGTACTTGCCACGTAAAAGGAAACTTTAACGTATATATAGTACTAATAATATAAGAAGTTAGATAAGGAATTTGATAAATATAAATGTTTGGCGGCAAAATATGGGAATGCTAAAAAGTCGTCGCAAATTGAAAAAGTTAAAGTCGATTTCATTCTTTGGTATTTAAATGGAAAACCATTTTAATAATAATAATAATAATAATAAAAAAGCCATTGCCACGAAAGATTAAACGCTCTAAATTGGTAAAATATTCCATTTTTTTATCGAGATAAACATTCCAATTTTTTTTATCGAGTTAAAGTTACAAATTTTTATAATTTTACATGTAAGTTAAAGTTTCGAATTTTTATAATGATCACGTAATTAAACCAAATTGGAATAATCATGGATAGTATTAATATGAAGGTAATTGATTAATATAAAATTTTTGGCGGGAAAATAAAATACTCACACTAATAACATAAGCCCTCACTGGGCATCGAACCTACTGCCTCGGCAATTATGACAAGCGTGCAATGCCAATAGACCACACTAATTATTCATCATAAGCTCCCCTTTTTGTCTATATAGATAAAGAATAAGACGTTTTGTTGAAGCCATGGTCCAACATCTAAATTTTGAAAGCCGAAATCGATGGCTGCCTGCTACGGAGACGATCAGACTAATATCTTACCGGATGAGTATTTCAACCATGAAGGATGTGTATTTATATTTAAAATTATTATTAATTATATTTTTGTTTTAAATATAATTTAAAAATATTTAAAAAGCAAGTTTTTAAAAGCCCGCGGGTTACCCGCGGCTCCCGCGAAATTAAGCGGGGCGGATGCGGGTCTAGTATTTTCTCCAGCGGATTTTGCGGGGCGGGTTTTTGCGGGTCAAAAATTTTGAAATCCGCTGCGGGGCGGGTCTCGTGGGGCGGGTTTGACCCGCTTGACAGCTCTAGAAAAAACTAACAATTATGTAAGAATGGGAATCGATTGATATATTTTATGTGTGTCTATATTGCAGTTTTACTTTTAAAAATTGGGCAACTTTAATTTAGTGTTTTTTTTTTTTTTTTTTGGTAAGGTTATTTTCTTTTTTATATGCACTAAAAAATATATGTTTTTTTTTTTCTGAACAAACAATAAATATTTGTATAATAATTGTTTTTTCTTTAAAAAAGGCTTTACAATATAGACTCACTTTTGTGTGAAGTAAATTAGGGTTTTCTCTGTCACAGTCAGCGACGGGAAAGAAGTTCCATTGGCGTCTAGGTATCCCACATCACATCTATGGGTTTCTTGAGTTGTTGGTCTTTTTTGTGGGATATTATACACATCGATAAGCATCTGTCAACTGTTCCAGAAACCGAAGGTTGTCAGCAAAGAATCGAAACTAGGATCTGTGCTTTGCCTGACGATTTGCTCTTGCAGATCTTGCATCACGTCCCAACAAAAGAGGCAGTCGCCACTTCAATCTTGTCTAAACGATGGCGTTATGTCTGGACGATGGTGCCTAGACTCGAGTTCAAAGACGAAGGCAGCGAGAGCGTTGGGTGGTTTATTGAGAAGTCATTGCAACTCCATAAGGCACCGAAACTAGATGGTTTGATTGTCGAAATCGGTCCACATTGTCCTTTTGACGTAGATGTTGGAAAGTGGGTTGAGAACGCAGTTAATAGAGATGTTGAAGATTTAGATTTCAAGCTCCTCTGGACCGCAGAGCCCACAAGATTTCCTAAGTGCCTTTACACATGTGACACGCTCGTTTATTTAACTCTATCCAACCAGATTCTAGTGGATGTTTCCTCCCCGGCTTCCTTACCATCTCTCTTATATTTGAGTCTTCACTACGTGGTGTATAAAGACGATGGCTCTCTTGTTAGGCTTTTATCAAGTTCTCCTATTCTCAAGTGGCTGAGTGTGCATAGACATGAGAATGACAACTTGAAAACCTTTACCGTGAAAGTTTCTTCTTTAGAATCATTTTATTATGATGATAATTGGCTCAAGAATGAGGTAGAGGATAATGAGATTGATGAGGTAGAGGTTGATGCGGTAGAGGATAATGAGGTTGATGAGGTAGTGGATAATGAGGTAGAGGTTGATGAAGATGATGATCTCAATGGATCGTTGGTAATAGATTCCCCTGCTTTAAAAAATTTGCAGTTATATGAGGTTTGGGACTATTGCTTGATAGAGAATATGTCTTTCCTTGATGAGGCATTCATCAACAATGTTCCAAACCCCGATGACAAGTTTCTGAGATCTCTTTCTTCTGTCATACATCTGTACTTGTATTTGACCAAATCAATGGTAGCGATTACGTATCCCCGGTCCTCTTCTTTGTTCCATGTTGCTTAGCCAACTATGATGTTAATTTTTTTCTATCACACGCAGGTTGCATGCTGTAACGCCATCAAGTTCTCCCGGCTCATAGAGTTACATTTTCATCCAGATGATTTAGTAGATTGGTTGATGCCACTTATTTTTTTGCTTCAAAATTCTCCTCAACTTAAAACTCTTACGATTGACAATGTAAGTTTTCCATCCTCCTTTAAAATAAGTGCACCTATTTTTGATGAACTTAATATTAAAATATACTGTACTGATACCAGAACTTCGAGGGTCTCCCACTTTCCTGGAACCAGCCGGTATCTATTCCCGGATGCTTGTTGTCTCATCTAGAGATCTTTAGGTGGGGAGACTATGGAGGAAGAGAAGATGAGAAACAACTAATGACATACATTCTGGCTAACTCAAAGTGTTTAAAGACAGTCGAGATATCCCTCTTAGCAACTTGCAATCTTGAAGACATACAAGAGGAGTTAGAATCTATGCCTAGGGTTTCAACATCATCTCAACTTCTAATCTCCACTAAAATGGACTGGAGGTTTAACGATTGATATTGCTACTAATTTATTTGTTTAAGTACTAGTTAAGCTATCATTTAATGATTACATTTAGTTAATTATTAGGTTACAACATGGACTATCTAGTGCTCAATTTTCTTGCTCCACTACAGAACTGTAATACTTTAAATTGAACTCGAAATGTTCATTGACATTTTAACAAAGCTAAACTGTAAGTATAAGTACATAAACAATGACTATAACTTTAAACTAGATTTTAACCCGCGGTACACCGCGATGATTTATTTTTAAAGTTAGTGTAAAAATATTTTGTAAATTGTATCTCCTTATAAAATATTTATTTATATTATAATTTACAATTGTTATTAAGTAACGGTATACCACGAGACAATTGTTAATAAACTGAAGATTTAATCCATATTAAAGCGGCATGTTAATGATATTTATAAATATTGATTCAAATTCGTCCGCCATATAAATCCGTTTCGAAATATAACCCGTTCCGTAATTTTTTAACCCGTCCCGTGATTTATTTTTATTTTAAAATTTAATGATTATTTATTATATATAAAAGTTTACAAATCATATCATTCTCTAAGTTATTAATATTTTAATAAACTGAAAATTTAATCTGTATTAAAGCGGCATGTTAATGATATTTAAAATTTTATAAATATTGACGTAGATGTTGGAAAGTGGGTTGAGAACGCAGTTAATCGCGGTGTGAAATATTTAGATTTCAAGCTCCTCTGGACCGCAGATCCCACAAGCTATCCTAAGAGCCTTTACACATGTGACACACTCGTTAGTTTAACTCTATCCAACCAGATTCTAGTGGATGTTTCCTCCCCGGCTTCCTTACCATCTCTCTTATATTTGGGTCTTCACTACGTTGTGTATAAAGACGAAGACTCTCTTGTTAGGCTTTTATCAAGTTCTCCTATTCTGAAGTGGCTGTGTGTGCATAGACATGAGGATGACAACTTGAAAACCTTTACCGTGAAAGTTTCTTCCTTAGAATCATTATATTATGATGAGAATAATGAGGTTGATGAGGTAGTGGATAATGAGGTAGAGTTTGATGAAGATGATGATCTCAATGGATCGTTGGTTATAGATTCCCCAGCATTAAAAATTTTGAACTTATATGAGGTTTGGGACTATTGCTTGATAGAGAATATGTCTTTCCTTGATGTGGCATTCATCAGCAATGTTCCTTACCCCGATGACAAGTTTCTGAGATCTCTTTCTTCTGTCATACATCTGTACTTACTGTTTACCAAATCAATGGTAGCTATATTACATATCTCTGTACCTCTTCTTTGTTCCTTATTGCTTAGCTAGCCAACTATAATGTTAAATTTTTTCTATCACACGCAGGTTGCATGCTGTAGCGCCATCGAGTTCTCCCGGCTCATAGAGTTTTACTTTCTTCCAGATAGTTTGGTAGATTGGTTGATGCCACTTATGTTTTTGCTTCAAAATTCTCCTAAACTTAAAACTCTTACGATTGACAATGTAAGTTTTCCATCCTCCTTTAAAATAAGTGCATCTAGTTTTGATGAACTTAATATTAAAATATATTGTACTGATACCAGGACTTCGAGGGTCTCCCACTTTCCTGGAACCAGCCGAGTTCTATTCCCGGATGCTTGTTG